AAACGCGTGAGTTCACTCTTATAATTCTTCTCATTTATTAGACCATACAAGAACTCCTTGTATGGCAAAAGATACTTGTACTTGTATGCAAAGAGACAATTCAGAGCGGCTCTCTGTATGTCGAGATTTCTCGAAGAAATCAAGTCCAGATAGATTTGATGCATCTCCGCTTCTCTGTGCATCATTTTCGGATTCTGCACTTTATCGAATATCTCCATCTGAGCGAGTAAAAGTTTCACCTTGTAATTTCTTTTCATCACATCCGCTTGCGCAGCTTTTATGATCTCATCACGCTCTTCATCACTTTTGTTCTCGTCGTCCGCATCATTATCTGCGTCGATTAATTCCTTGCGTTTTTCAACATCGCAATATTTGCCCTCGTCAGAATTAGATCTAAAAAAATTTGCATTTACGAAATCAATGAATAATCCGGTTAAATCTCTATTTTTCGTCTCGGCATAATGTGAGAAATGTGCCATACATTTCCAGAGGAGGATTCTATAATTTTCGAAATCAGGCTTATATATATATATATCGTCGTGTTTTTCTACCGACATCTCCAACGACGAAATCACATAGCAATCAAACGACGGTTTCCGTTCAATCTCCGGTACATTGTTACATGTTAATTCGGACAGAAATGTTGGCCAGAACTGTGGGCATTCCTTGTTACCATAACTAGCTATGATTATACTCACAGGTTGCCAAAGTAGAGAAAAATTGATGTACAAATTGCCCATCAAGCAACGTAACGGAAATTCGTAATATTTAGGATTTAGATTAGCTATCGCATGACTCTGAAATCCTAAAGCCTGCAAATATAATAACTTGCTGCGATAGTTTTGTATCGTTGCGGATTCACATTCCACTAAATATACAAGCTCCATAGTACTTTTTCCATCAGACATCTGAAGAGGTTCGCCAGGTCTTTTCAGATCTTCAACTTTAGAAAATAAGAAATATAAGTGTGCCACGATCATTCGAACATTTCTATAAGGTGAACTAAATTTCTTCTCTATTTTGTCGTTTAATTTGTTAAACGACGCTAAATTTATATAATCCGAGTGATGCTGCGATGCAGCAAAATACGTCATACAGAGATCTATCGCATTTAAGATATATGTATTGTCATAATGTTTGTTAATTAAATCAACTATTTTTATATCAGATTTTACCAAAAACTCGTAGAGATTTCTTGGCTCTGACACATGGATTAACGATTCCAGTGTTAATAAAAATATAAAAGCGGTTTTATTAATATCCTCAGTGTCATCTGCACCATCATGATTCAATATCTTTTTATATAAAAATAACAAGCCATTTTTCAACATATTCATAAATTCTTCATGCAACGGCTTCAGATGTGGTAAAATTATCAAAATTCTCAGTGCGTCAAGCGAAACAGTATCAGTAGATAATGTTTTCAATTCTAGTAAGAGATAATCAATTTCAATGTTTCGTATATCTAAAATGTATTTTCTCCATTTGTCCAAAGTTATACCACTGAGACAGGGTGATGCTTTCGTGAGAATTACTTTAGCAAGCAGAAGCAGTAGCTTATTGTCAAATCCAATAGATATGCTGCGCTGCATTACGTAAGGCAATACCAAAACTTCGAACGAAGAGTAGTGTATTAAATTTTCAACAGAGGAGTATAATAATTCCATGTCATTCACCATCATAATTTTCAGTACTAATTGACTCGAGTTCTCCTGCATTAACTTGACGTTGGATGCCAAGAGAATAGCTATCGATACATTGATAACTTCGCGCAAAATATTATTGTCTTCACTCAATCTGTCAATCATGACGGTGAACCTTTTTGTCACAGGTACAGCGTCAATTAAAAACCTTCCATTTTTACAGCTGATAATACCATGTATAAGACGTAAAAATAGAACTAAAGTGTGTTTCTTCTCAGAGAATTCTAACTGCTTTGACTTTTCGACAAACGTGTCTATTATTTTTAGTATAACATTCCATATGATATTGCATTTTTGTGGATGTATGTTTTGCAATATGCATGTTATAATTTCTCGTAGTACTTCGTAAGTAAGCGTTTTATCAATGGTCTCGTCTTGCAGAGCGTTGAAATAAAGCAGTAACATCTGTTCGCCGCAGGAATGCAACTGCCCTGGAGTACCAGATATAACTTCAAACAATAACTTTGCACAACCCGATACTCCATTTTCCTTGGCATTTTTATTTCTATCCTCCAAAATATGTAATATCAGTTTCAGAAAAGAATCTTTATCCTTGATCTTGCGAACTACAAATGCAAAACTTTCGGCAGCAAACCTGTTTATATAAACTGGCTGCGTGTCAGCTAACAATGGTAGTAACAGGGGCATCACAGTTTTTATATTTCTTGTCAAATATCGCCATAGAAATTTAAACAAATATGCCAAAGTGGTGAATGTATACTCTATCTGTTCAACGTCTTTTGTTTGCAGCAAGTAGATTATTTCAGATAGAAATTCTGGGAAATAATCGTAAAACTCTTTCTGAAGATCTCTCGCTACAGCAATTATTAATCTATGGGAAACAGAGAATAGAAATAATAACAAAAAATCTTTTCATGCATTTATCCATATATGTATCTAGGTCTGTTCTTTTTAACTAAGAACCTGTTACAGTTTTTGAAACAAGATGAAAATTACAAAAGTGAGTATATTTACTAAAATATTTATAACTTCATTCAACATTTAGTAAACTTACTTTTATAATTTTTATCTAATTTCAATCATAAGGAGCCTAAACTTTTTATATCAAACTTCTTCAGCTTTTTCCTTTTTTCTCCGTGAAGAGAAAAGGAGGAAAGATAAACTGTACAAGAAAATCAGCTGAAAGAACAGATCTTCAGTGTGCTACTTACTCCAGGATCGGTTGCAGGAACAAAGGATCTCGTTTCCTCAGATACAACATAAGTGTATCGATCACATGCTGCTTCTTGTGAAGTAATTGGGGCAACGTGATGATGTCTCGCACTTCCTTTCTGAAGGCGGTGTAACCGTCCGTCAGGTTGAGTACGTTCCATTTCAGTAGTGTCTCGTGAAAATAGGTCTCAATCTCCTCGGCCTCGTCCTCGTTTCGATGTGCTACACGGTGAAAGACATCGACGTCGATTTCCGTTATCCTCTCGGAGAATGGCTTGAACTGCGGAAGAAAACCCGATTCCAGAGCCACGTGCGAATAACTTAACCTCACACTCCCTGTTGACTTTACTCACCCGGAAGACGTTCACTTCTTTATGACGGATTGGCTTGTTCTTCATTCTAATGGATTGTCTTGGCGCACGTAAATCAAATTAATACATTATTTATCTCATTTAAATGAAGAATTACATCAAAGAAACCAAATTGAAGTTTGTGTCCACATCCCACGACCCACGTGCAAATCAAACCTCAAAGCATCAAAGAGAATACTAACGTTTCCATATACATAAAAGGTGCGTTCCGTAACGCGCATGATGCGCATGATGCATCCATTGTCCTTGTTTAACATTTGGTGAGCAACAAGGATAAACGACGCATTATGCGCATCATGCGAGAAACGGAACGCACCCAAAGTGTAACTGGAACTATGTAGTCTATGTACCCATGGTATAAGGATAAGGCTGGATTTTCATTTGACGCTGAAAATGAGCGTCTAGCGTCAGATGAAAATCCAGCTTAAGGGTATGCTCACGCGCATGCGACCAATCAAAATTGTCGAAGTGTGACGTCACACAACAAGCGGTAAATTTAAAACTGCTGTTTCCAACCAACTTAT